AAATATTGAACAATGTCCTAGACCGCGAGCAATGGTTCTTCCTACAGACAGGCAAGAATAAAGAACAGTGAGAAGAAAGAGGGAAAAAAGAGAGAGAAAGAAAGAGCAGACTGTTGAAGATCAAAACGACAGTGAAGGGAGATAACAGCGCATGTAGGGAAGAAAGTCAAACAGGGACAGGGAATTTAATTTTAAGGACATTTTCGGCACGACACCATCACATTCAAACCTAAAAAACAGTTCCCTTTTTAAATGTATTTATACTTTTAAGTATATCTGAGAAGACACTTACAAGAAATTATTTGCTTCTTGTAAAACAAACCACAGGAAGGGCCCCAAAGGCTGCCATGCTAGAAAAAAGCAGAACTAATGGACTCCCCTGAAAAGATAACAACAAAAATCGAAAGTCTGAGTGCCCAAAATAAACTGTCTGTACAAAAGATGAGTAGAGTAAAACAAGGAGGAAGTTGAATCTCGGTTTGGGAATTACTGAACGTGCAAAGGCAGAACCCAATCTGCAGGCCATTTGCATGAAGGAGCCACAGATTCCACATCCACAATGAAGACCGCAAAGCTCTGGCTCAGCCAGCCCCTGGGAGCTCAGCCACGGGGCTACTTCTGAGACCAAGCTTAGAGCGACCACCCATGTGCCTTCGCCCCTTGCCGAGTGGGAGCTGTTTGGACAAGGTTCAGAAGGAGCTTGGCAAGTGTGATTCGCTCTCCCAGAGACCCACATAAGACTGTCCTTGAGAGAAAGTCAACGGACTCACTTCTGGACCGAGCAACAGACCAAGACAAGCTCCCCGTACAGAACACATGTGAGCAATGCAAGAGGGTAGCACTGTAAAACCACGACTGCCTATGTCACTACAACACACACAAGCCAAACGTGCTTTAAATCTATACCGTCACTTACATACAAGGGCAGGAACACTTTGTCATAGGTGGGCGGAAAAACGAGTCTGTAAATAATAGAAGACATGTCTACTATGACATGAGATCTAGATCTTATATAGAAGATAGGAACAATATGTGTATATAGGATCTATATAAGATATATATTTCAAATCTATGTGTGCTTTTGTAGCACAGACACCACAAGAATGAATGGCTAATGGAAATAGGTGCCAGCATGTGAGCATGAGGATACAAAATCAAGGACTCCATCTCCTTGCACCCGGGACAGCCTAAGAACACCAACCCAGTCAGTAAGGGCTACCTGCCCATCAAAGATACAAGCAAAACCCTTACACATCTCAGCATGCTGCTGCTGTGGCTGTGGCTGTTGGGTGCCATTGAGCCAGTTCCGACTCATAGTGACCCTCTAGACCAGTGGTGCTCAACCTTCTTAACGCCATGACCCTTTCACACAGGTCCTCATGTGGTGGTGACCCTCCAACCATAAAATAACTTTCGTTGCTACTTCATCACTGTCGTTTTGCTACTGTTATGAATCGGGCGACTCCTGTGAAAGGGTCGTTGGACCCCCAAAGGGGTCACGACCCATAGGTTGAGAATCACGGCTCTAGACCAAGGTAGCATTGCCTCATAGTGTTTCCAAGGCTGTAATGTTTACATAAACAGAGTACCACATCTTTCTCCCACGGAGGAGCTGGTGGATTTGAACTGTCAACCTTTTTGGTTAACAGACCAGTGCTTAACCACTGCATCACCAGGGCTCTTATAGAAAAGCGTGGCAAGTGCATATAGTAAATCCATAATATTTTTTTCCTGTTTAAAAAATAAGGTGCTAAGGCGGACGATTCTAATAATGGGTAAATACTTTAAAGAAAAGTATCCTAAGGTGGGCAGTAAAAATGGAAAGCCACCCCAGCAAATGCGAGTGCCAATACATATCATTCAACCCATTAATTAGGAGTCTTTGACCTTCTTCATCCAGCTAGGAATTTTTGTTCTGTGCTGTGGTTTGATTGACATCCTATTCATCCCCACTCAAAACTCCTGTTTCAGAAAAATAGTCACCTTGAATGAATGGGCTGTACACCTCACCACTCTGCCACTTCCACTCAGTTTCCCCTTGAAATACTTCAGGAATGTCTTTCTGCTACGCAGAAGCCATTCAAGCAGAGTCCCTGGACCCTGCGCATGTCTGCAGCCTCTGACAAACAGGGAGGTGACGGCACTCTTGGGTGTCTCTCCACCCAGGACAGCTCATGAGATTTTCTAACCTGGCCTATGACTGGGAATGACCATAAACCATCATTCTTGATTTTAAACGCTCACCACTCACGAATACTTCTGTTCCCTCAGCAAAGAACTGGGGTTTTGTCTGCGGATGCATTAGCGGAGCTTTGATCTCTGGTCCCTAAGCTGCTCTCTGTCTCATGCAGCTGTCCTGTGTGTCAGTTGGGAAGGGTGCATCTCTAGAGGGAGAAGCCCTCAGACTTTCTAGCTGCCACGGTGGTAGTGGGATAAGGGATTAAAGTGGACAGGCTAAGTCAGTGCTACAGAAGGAGCAAGCCCCTGTAGTGGCCCTTGACCATGAATTTAATAATTGTCTTAAATATTTGCCCAATCTTATTCCCTCTTGGAGTTCCTCAAATGGACCTATATGGACTCCTATTCCATAATTACGTACTTACCATTTAATCAGAGCGCTGACAGTGCAGCTCCTCCCTGTGTTTACTAACTCTGGCTCTGGCTTTGATTCTAGACCCATAACTCTAGATGCAACTCTCCTGCCAGGCAGTCCACTGCCTTTAAGAAAGTGAAAAATGTATCTATTTCTATTTGTGTCATTTGCACATCCATTATTTTCTCTCTTCAGTTCATGGTGATTCAGTAATTGTATTTGTCTTTTCCCTCTGTGACTTTAAAACATTTTTCTGAATCGTTATTCCTTGGATAATTTATCAACACAAATCTATCAAATTCACTGGCCTCTCTGCCACCTTCAGGTCGAACCTTCCCCTGGGTTGTGAAAATGGTAATCCCCACCGCCTCTCGCTCTCGGACAGCCCTGGCTTCTCCCCGCTTCTCAGAGCCGGCTGAGTCAGCTGTCAAGCTCCATAATCTCTGCTCCTATCCTTCGCCTGCTTGTAACAGAAGCAACCTGAGAAACGTCTTTCCTTGACCCTTGATATTTTCACGGTTATTTCTAATTACTGGTAATCTGATTTTTTTTTAATAACTCTTTTTCTCTTCGTAGATGGGGAATGACTTGGCTCAAACTCCTGTCACTTCACTGGTTACAGGGCTGACAGGGGATGGTTAGTCATTTCGTGCACAATAGCCACACAAACACTTCTCACGCAGAAGTTGCTCCCGTGCCAGGGGGCCACCACAGCCAACGGAACGGCAAATCTAGCTGTCAGTCAGAGCACGTGCGCCGCTGCCTTCCCCTCTCTGTCCTCAAACACTGTTCCCTCGCAGCCTTCCGGAGTTTTTGCCTGTCTCCTTATTTCTCTTTCCCTCTGAGCTGACTCCTTTTCTACGGGCTTCGTTGCCACAGGTGAAACCTTGGCCGTTTACTTCCTCCCGTTTGCCCTGCAGGCCTTTCACTTCCTCAATACTTAAAATGCTGTGCTGTCTGTCTAGCTGCAGCTCATCTGTCCTCATCTCTTTCTAGTTCGTTCAGCTGTATTGCTAGATGGCGAGCTCTAACATCTCGTGACTCAGCTGTTACCAAACAAAGGCAGCTTCTTGAATGTATGCGGGACTTTCCTGACGTACCGCCGGGCAACCAGAAGAACAACTACATCTATTTTCAAAGAGGTGAGCAGGCACTCTCCGTAGAAGGGAGGACGGCAAGGCGTCATCTCACATCTTTTGGACAGGAGGGACCAGTCCCTGGGAAAGGATCCCATGCTTGGTACGAGGAAGAAGGCCTTCCATGGCACCGTGGCTACAACCATGGCCTTACGCAAAGTCCCAATTGGGAAATGGCACAGAGGGTCAGTGGCAAAGAGGGAGACCCTCAAGAGGGCAGATGGACACAGTGGTTGCAACAATGGGCTCAAGACAGAGCCATTCTTGTGAGGAGGGCACAGGAGTGGGCCGGGTTCCATTCTGGTGTACGCAGGGCTGCTATGAGTGGAGCTGGCTGCATTGTCTTGAACACGCAGCAGCAGCAGCAGCAACTGAAGCTGCAGAAACAACGCAGCCTATGTAGATACGTCAGCCGCTTACACCAAGGGCAGAGAGGGCAAGACGAGTCTAAAGAGCCGCCTTTAAAATAGAGCCATTCGAAATCTGACCTCATATTGAGCATTGTTTATTCAACCAACTGATCAGACGTGCTGGGAAGCAAGAGGAGAGAGAAGAAGTCAATGTGAGGAAAATATTTTGTGAAAATCTACAAAGTCTGAACTTTATTCTGTAAAATAGAGGGAGCATTAAAAATTTAAAAAAATTGAGGTGTGTAAGTATACATTTTTTAACTTCTAATAAATCTGTATTAGAGGGTGCAAATGTAAAGATGCTCTTTGTGTCAATGAAATGAAATAACTCTTCTGAACCTCCTGTTTTCATAAATTATTTTAAAACTGGAATGGTTCTTACAATGGAATTTCAACTGTAGCCTCGTTCTGTGGGCAGCAATGGAAGACTTTCATTGGATGGCTTCTTTAGGATTGCAGTGTGTGGTGACTAAGCCATCTGAAAGGCTTCTCCTGATTAGCACAGAACTTACCCCCAACTTTACACGGGGTCTCCCTGCAACTTCCCCTCTGTTCTCCCATGGGATTTCTATTTGTCACCATGGTTACGTACTCCTGTGGCTTTGAAAGAAAACTGTCTCCTGCCAGGTCCAGGAGTTTGGAGAGCCAAGTATTGTTTTCTGATGAGTTGCCTCCAAGCACATCCCTGGGCGTATAATCAGGCATTCTAAGAACTTGGCCCTTTCTTTAGTCCAAATCTGAGAAGGCAAGTTCTATACAAACGAAGGAGCCAGAACCTGAAATGATGGTAAGTCTTTGACACAAAATATGATTAGAAGGATTAATAAATGATTATACATAAGAGAGTATAGAATATGAAACCTGATGGGCCAGAATGTAGATATTGTGTCCAACATCTTTTGGAGAAACACCATCATCTCCACCTTCATCATCTCCATGGTCACATTCTAATCCCTGGTTATAGGCATTCTTCATCACTTCCACCTATCAAAAAAAAAAAGGAACAAAGAGATGTGAGATACCACAAAGCAATATACATCCTACATAGTTCATGAAGCATAATCAAAAGCTGGAATGCTTCCTGAGAAACAAAATAATTATAAAGTCAGGACTCTAACTGACCTTGTAAACCAAAATGTTTAACAACTTTTCTTCCAATCAGCTGCATTTTTCTACCTTTCTACTTTCCTTTGAAATCTTTGCTTTGGTTTTGAACATTAACAGTGTTAAAGGTCCCCAATATACAATTTAGGAGATTTGGAAGCCTCATGAGTATCAGTTATTTATTAAGCACTCTCCAGGTAACAGCCAACATTCCGCTGGACATTGTACTGGACACACAGCATGCAACAGTGATATGCCACAGTGTGGGCCCAGAGTGCACCGTCCAGTAGGAGAGACAGCAAGTGAGCCAATGGAGGCGCTATACCAAACAGGGGTTCCCCAACTCAGGCTAAAAACGTGTATGAGAGGCCAAAGGTGTTGTGGGGGGAGGAACAGTACTTTCAAGGGGTTATTGTGGAGTGCTGTTGATTCTCCACACTGTTAGCTCAGTGTGTAACCCACTGCTGAACATGGAATCCCTACTCTTAACCCACTGCCTTGGGGAGAGTCAACACTCATTAAATATATGCTAAATAAAATACCACCTTGTTTCTTTCCTAATCTATACTCTTCAACTCCATTCTTCACTAGTAAAGAGAGAGAAAACCAGTGCGGTGCCAGCCTTTCATAGGATTTATCCCGTCCACCTGCCCTATCAGCACTAAGGTAAACAGGACCTGTACTACTAGGTTATGTGTTTTATACATATTCTCAATGCTTCTGAAAATCCAATATCTTTAAGGCATGCTAAGGGTGAGGAGGAAATCAGGACTTATACAACAGTATGACACTAGTGATCTCTGTGGAATCCCTATGAAGTTTCTGCACAACTTCCTCCAGGGCAAGCACTGCTTGGCCTTTCAACAACAAGAGCCACACAACAATCTGATTGTATTTTTATACTCCAGAAAGTGTATCAACACATTTCTGAGGCTACAAATATTGTTTTATGCTTCTTCCCCCTGTAGTCAAATTCACCATTAAACTGAAGCAAATTTGTTTTTCTGATGAAAAGCATTTGCAGATAGGTTAGTGGAGTGTGACAATTGGTTCAGAAAAGTGCTTGGAATGGATACTACTAATGAAGCCATAGAGGCCTTTCCCATCAGGGGGCTTTGTGTCTTCATAAGGCGGGTCGTGATACTTACCATCAGGGGGCTTTGGGTCTTCATAAGGTGGGTCGTGAAATTTACCATCAGGGGGCTTTGTGTCTTCATAAGGTGGGTCGTGATACTTACCATCAGGGGGCTTTGGGTCTTCATAAGGTGGGTCGTGATATTTACCATCAGGGGGCTTTGTGTCTTCATAAGGCGGGTCGTGATATTTACCATCAGGGGGCTTTGTGTCTTCATAATGTGGGTCGTGATATAGCATTCACCTATAGATAGTTTTCCTGGAACCCTTTCCGAACACTCAGCCCTCTTGGGGTCCACATTACTGACACAGCTCCCACGAGCTTTCTTACCAATTCCCTGGGTCGCATGTTGAAGAGGATTCTCTCTGCATTCTCGCTGTCGTGTCTGCTCTCCATGATGGCCAGCAAAAGCTTGGAGGCATTGTTCTAGAGACAGAGAATGAGTTAATGCAAATGTAAAGTCTATTTCATGGATTACCGATCCCTGGCTTTTGTTTTAATTGATATTACCAGGACCATTTTTTTAATCAGCATTTTAAATTGCTAATTTCTTTTGTCTTATTAACATTCTAAAATAGAGTGTTTTGCTTTATTGTCAACACAAAATAAAACTAATGAATCATGGGAGATAAATTACATGGGTTATTTTAAATATTGGTGAAAGGATGTTCTAAACAAAAAATTGGTTTTTCTACATGATACACTAACATATAGCCCCATTTCCCTTTGCTAATTTCTTAAGCAGGCATATTCATGATGATGCTTAAACAAGACAATAAGCTCAACAACTTTCAATGACATATATCAGAAATATCACATTCTATAATTTAAAGGCTTTAGCAAACTTAGTTTTAAAACAACACATAAACACATGTTGACAAATCATAACACTTAAATAAATCTGAAGAATGTTTATTAGGAATTAATTTACAAAATTCTAATTTCATGAGTCAATTTCGTAAAATTAAATGTTAACTTATTGATAATGATTTTACCACTCTAGATGGTAGTATTGGAATTTTATATACTTGTGTGTGTACACACACACACACACATAGCTTACTTGAGAATGAAAGTAGCCTATGCTATCTTTGATGAGTTCTATTTTGGTTTATAAATAGAATATTTCAAACATTTTACCCATAGATGTTTCATGGACATAAAATTTGTGAGATAGAGTCAATTTATAATTCAAAAATAGGCACCAGAGAGTGAAGAAAGCAAAAGATGTTTTCTGAAACTGTGCTTTCAATATGCTGCCATAGAATTTTGACAAAATTGCAAGATGTACAAAATACATAGGAGATGGTGCTAAAGTGGTTTTGTGGTATTCATTTATATGAGAATCTCAACACAAAATCTTTGATGCAGGAGTGCAAATAAAAGAGAGTTAATGTAGCTTTAAGATGCTTCTCAGTGACTTAAAGTCAACATCTTACAGGATGAAATTTTAAGTTGAATCAATTGTTTGTATTACATGGACATTACACATTTTGTTAAAGTTGTATGGATTAATTTACTGAGTAGTTTTAAAACCAAAATGTATCCATCTGATTTTTCTTAAATAACTAATCTTAGTAAATGATAATATCAATGCCTATTATAAAAATAGTTTAGTTTTATAGTATTAGGCTTTTTAAAATCTGCTCTATTTTTATTTCTTACAGATTTGTAGCAATCCAAATATCCATTTTTTAATCATCTATTACCTCCTAAGACACTTTTTAAAAGTAATGAAGTGCCAGGATTAAAAGGCCAACCTCACTGCCATCGAGTCAATGCTGACTCACAGCGCCCCCTGTGAGCTGCTGAGACTCTGAGTTTTTTAGGAGTAGGATGCCCTGTCTTGCTCTGGCATTGCTGCTGCTAGTTTCAAGCTGCCAATCATGCAGCTCGCAGCCCAAAATGAAACCACGACACCACCAGGGCTAATGGAGGGTTTAGATGCTTAGAGTGATCTGAACCGACCCTCACAGAATTTAAAGCATGTGAACTGGCAACAATGACAGTATTTTCTATGAACAATAGTCACCCGCCTCAACACATCATAGTTTAAAAAGCAGATCTAATTTTAAAAAGCGATTTGCGTTTTTTGTAGCCAATATTCTTTTTTCATAGTGTTGGGAGACTAGAAATGTGGAGGATGACCTGTTGACCTTTGAACCAAGTTGAAAAACAAAAAGCTGGAAACAACAATGACCCTCTGCGGAGTCGATGCTCGCTCAGCAACCCCGGTGGACAGGGTGGAACTACTGCCCAGAGCTTCCCAGGCTGGAGCTCCGCAGGGGAGCAGGCAGACACATCTTCCGCGGGCATCGTGGTGGGTGGGTTTCAACCACTGACTTTTGGTGCTCGACCATGGAACCACCATGACTACGGACAAGAAGCTCTATGTATTTAAAGAGTCAAGTAAAAATATCAGTATTAGAAGAAAAATTCCCAAAGGATGACTGATTCTTTTTCAGAGTAAATTTACAAATTCACAGATCAGTTATGGCAAAGACAACCAAAAGGCATGGGCAGAGCCTGCATAAGAACACCTCTTACCATCTTGCTTCCATGAGTTTGCAGTGTACTTAAAACTACGGGTGCTCAATAAATTAAATTTAGGTGAAATGATATGAACAAAACCCTAGTTATTTTAATATATGGCAACGCTGTAATTTTACTGAGAATTTACCACTTAAAGCACCCTTCCCATGGATGCCTCAAAATTTGCCAATAAACATGGATCCACATGTTGTTGTGTTTAATATGTACATCTCATCATTTCATCCTTTAAAGAGAGGCATTTTAACATTTCAAGTCAAATCCACACGTTTAGTATAAGGAGGCTTTATAAATTTCATGTAAATGTAGAATGAATAAGCAATGGAAGTTTTCCACGAACTCTCTCAAACTCTGTCATATCTAGGTAAACCTTGATTTACACATCTATCATTATTTTTAAATGTATGTATGTTATGCTTATTTAGTAGAAATATAAATGATCTTTAAATAAAATATTTTCATTTGAATAGCTAAGAATATATTTGAACTGTAAAGTAATAGACCATCACTTCGTTATTTTATAGTCTGGGATTTGTAAAGAATATATACATCTACCCTTTATATTGACGAGTTATCCAGTATGTGCTACATTAGGCTGTGGTAAATGAATGAGATTTAAAGGGAATGGTCCTTACTAGAGGAGTTGACAAGCTAGAGATCAAGGTTTTTATTTGTAGTTTATCAATTATGGTAAAATGAGTTTAGGATGAAGTGACCTAATTTATGTTGACTGTCAAAGAAGCCACATCTGATTTCAGTAAACAAAGTGTGATGTTAATGAGACAAAAGACAATGTCCAAAATACTTAAGGATCATTGTCATTCTAATGTATGAATGGGAAGAACCAAATCTTAAACGCTGTGGCAAATGTAAAGTGTGGAAAAGCACAATCACTTCAGTTGAAGTAAGCATTTGCTTCACAGCCTTCACACCGCAGAATATGTGTGTCTTTCACTAAATCTACACCTAGAAAAGGAATCAGAAAAATAGCACCCAAAGTCTGCTTGGCTAAACACTGAACCATACAGAGCTAACCAATTATATCATCTATCATATAGGATAGACCTGTCTTTTCAGGAATTTGTATTTAATCAAGAATGTATATTTTACCTGTTTAATATTGAATGTGATAATGCAGTCATTAATAATTCATCTGAATTGAATATCATACATCAGTCTTTGGAATTCACATTGCTTATTTTGTTTCCATTTGAACAATCAGATGAAATAATTTTTTTCAATGATACTACTCCTGATCTGATAAATGGAATTGCTGGGAAGTGTGTACACAGTCTGAGGGAAATAAATCTCTTAAAGGGAATATGAAAATGGTTTATAATATTTGGAGATAAATTAAGATTCTAATGTAAAACAGAATGACTTTTAAAGAAAGTAAAAATACAACACAGCACTCCTTCCAACTGGCCTTATTAACTGTAACTTGCTGAGTAGAATTCTGTAGTCAAGGTGAATTAAAAATATCTGTCAAAGTATAGCAAATGCTTAGGCCTTTGATTCTCTGCATAATGAAAAGTAAAAATATAAAAACATATAGCAAGCAATGAAACATACAGTGGCTGCTTGAAAGAACATACAATAAAATATCCACCAATTAAGCATTACACTTCAAAGCCTAATCGACATGTTATGAGCACATTAGGGAGCTTTACACTTTCCCTAGAAATCCCAGTGGCCCATTGGTTAAGCCCTTGTCTGCTCACCAAAAGTGTGATGGTTTTAGCTCACCAGCAGCTCTGTAGGAGAAAGATGCGACATTCTGCTTCCAGAGAGATTACAGTTTCGGAAACTGTAAGGAGCAGTTCTACTCTGTTCTATAGGATTACTATGAGTCTATGGCAATGTTATATATATAGAGAGAGACTATTATATATATACTATATATAATATATATATATATGTACTTTCTCTGTCCAATCATCAGTTGAAAAATATGTTAATCTCATGGGTTTTTATTACAGAGCTCACTGAAGATTGAGAGTCATCTTTTGAAGGGGCTTTCTATTGATCTTGTTAGTTGCTTTTCTGCTCATGGCGATCCTGGGTGACGAAATAAAACTGCACTGCAAGGGGACCAGATTGCCAGGTCTCTGGGAAGTCATGTGTTTTAAGTAGCCATCGCTTCTGTTATCAGCTGTACATTTAACTGCTGCATCACCAGGGCCCCACGGGGGTCTTATACAGAGAATATGAAATTGTCTCACTGAATAGTGGATTCACTCTACCTTTAGCTGGAGAACCAGGTCCATTCTGTATTTGCCGAGAGGATTTATGTCATTTAGAATCAAAGCAATGATGATGTCAATCCCATTCGATTCATGGGTAGCAATGCAAGTCTAGAAAACAAAATGTTTATAACATTACATTCTCTGTACACCCGTAAAAGTCCTGGAAATCACCTGCCATGAAGTAACAGAATTACTTCCGTTTTCAGATTAAAAGATGTAACTTCAAGCATCAGTTTATCCTTCTCAGAAGAGTCTGCTCACTAACTGATTAGTGCTGATCAAGTGACTGAGTGTGGAGAACACTGGGAGAGGCAGGTGTCCCTACAATGCGTTGTGTTTACTGAAGTAAATGCACACACACTGATGAACTTAAACGCTCTTTTAATGAGAACATTTTATTATATACCCCATCACCAGAGGAGTGCCTTTAGTTTACAGTTTTAAGATCTGATTTATCCTGGCTAAGATCATAGTCCCATTCTCAAAAAGCGTATGCCCTCCCTAAAGAAGTTTGCAAGTAAACTTTAATAGTCACCATGTAGCACTTTGATTGCACACCTACTTACTCCTAAGTGAGCAGTAAGTCATGCTGCCGCATACACTGGAGGCAGCAGCGGTAGGGGGTCAGGGAGACTCTTGATGTTTGGAAGACACTCTGTACACTATGATAGCTGAGGCAAAGTCCAGCAGAATGTTTAGACTCACGTAACTTAACGAATAAAACCAAACCTCTGCCATGGAATCAATCCCAACTCACGGTGCCCCGACCAGGCAGCAGCGCACTGTTCCACCGGGCCTCCAAGGCTCTCAGTCTACTGGAAGCGGAGTGGCTGGTGGGTTCGAACTGCTGACCTTTTGGTTAGCAGCCGTGCACTTAATCACGGCACCATCAGATAACGTTTAGAAAACATCCTGAGACCTAAACATCTATCCTTTTGAAGATGAAGCTCTGCTGGGCTTGAGCTAGGAACTGAATTCATTTTACAGAACTTGAAAAGCATGTCTTCGTGGGCTAGAATTTGTGAAACTACTTGTTACCCCGTAGCACACAATGTCAAATGGGTTTGAAAATGCGAAATCCTGGCAAGGTAAGTGTGAAAGAGAATAGATCAATTCTCAAATGACTGCATTTCAGAATCAGCCTTTTCTCTCCTGGTAGAGGGACATTTTATCCCCCGACACAGAAGGAGCTGCTTCCATCCATCTGCTCCATTTTCTCAGATTCTTCTGCTCATTCAATGTTTGCCAAATTGAGAGTAAATCCATTTGCAGATCATCTCTGGAATCTGTTGGCAACTTCCTTTCCTTCCACACAGTCTCAAAGCCCAGGGTCCATGTTATCATTAGTGTAGGTAACTTCCACCACTCAGAAGAAGGGAACAAAAGGACTTCCCATTGAAGAAACAAAGGTGCACACAAATGAGAGGGCTTAAAAAAATTCATGGGAAAAATGGAATTAAAAATAATGAACGTTTCCCATGAATATCTAAAGTTGACTCGTGCATATGTGTGGGTATATATATGTATATATATTTTTTCCATTAAGTGTTGTTGTTAAGTGCCGTTGAGTCAAATCCAACTCATTGCGACCCGACATAGGACAGAATGAAACACCCCATGGTCCTGCACCACGGTTCTCAGCTGTCACTTCAAGGGCTGACAGGGAGGGAAGGGATTTGGGGAGTAAGTAATGAAGTGGGGAGGGGGAGGGAACAATAGAACTGATTGTGATTGCACAACTCATTTTAAAGGCGATTTAATCACGGTGGAGGGGTGGGAAGGAGGTGCTCTAAGATTGCTGTGTAGTGGTGATTGTACAATTCCCCTTGATATGATTGAATGATTAAACTACTCAATTGTGTGATATGTAAATTAGGAGCCAATAAAACTGTTGGGAAAAAATATGCTGTAAAAGCGCACATAACGTATTGCCAAAACACACACAAAAACATGCTATGCCTTACTAATACAGGCAAAGTGTCTAGACTGAGCGTCCACACTTCTCTATAAACTGGAATGATGAAGTAATAATACCTAGCATTCTTGACGGTACTAATATTAGCTGCTGGGTATGAAAATGAGTGTGACTTTTTCTGGAATGGTTACTTGTCAATGACAGAAATGTACTTTCATTAATTATCTAGGCACCTACACGAAGGTTAAGCAGTAGAGATGTTCTCTGAAGCTTGGCTCATAATAGGGGAAACAATTTATTTTGCATCCCAAAAGACTCAATTGGAAAACACTCCTGAAGGCCAACACATAGTCCTTGAACTAACTACAAGCTTTTCTTTCTTGATGTTGTGTTTTGTTTTTGTCATTGGCTTGTTGTTGTTGTTTTGTTGTACATTGTGGCTTGGTTTTTCTCTGT